CAACGAGAAATGTGCATATATATATATATATGTTCACACCAATAATTTCATTCATATTCTTTTTTGTCTTTGATAGAGAGAGTTTCTAACTTGAAGTATGAGCTTAGTATTTTAACACTAATGTCAAGTTGAGGAGAGATTATTGTGTCCGGACACCGAACACATATTTTAGTCAGGTGTCCATTAAAATTGCCCACCTGTAAATATGGGGCTCACAAAAATACGTATTTTTTTGTTGTTTTTCAAAAGAGTGGGACTCACCTCCTGAGTGGTCATTTTTAATTGGACATTGAATGTAAATTTGTGTATGGTGTCATGAACCAATAATTTTTCCAAATTGACTCGTCTATTTGCAACATTGTGATGGTCATAAACTTCCTTTCAAGAAAACTTTGGCTTCTAACTGTCACTTTTAAATCATTTTCTCAATCACTCAATAGAGAAATTCTTTGCATTATACCAATTAAGCGGACTACCAGTATCTGATCACACTACCAACCAATTCTCTGAACGCCACCTCTATGCTTACTAATTAAAGCAAGAAGGATGTATATTGAGTTATGCCTCAAAAGTAATTGATTTCCTCGTGAACGATAGATACAGAAAGAGATATTGTACAATAAAAATTACTTTTGATCAGATATTTCTGAGATCAGATGAACCAGAACAAGGCATGAGAGCTCGAAGCAAAAACAACAAGAAAAAAGCTATCAAGAGACAAGAGGGCCATCAAACAGATGGTCGATCAGACACCGAATGAGTAAGGACCGACCGACCTTAAACCGACTGATCAAAAGTTAGTCAACTAAAGAGAATCAGGAGTATAAGTGTCATTTCACAATAATGACTAAAACTCCTATAAATAGAGTATTAAATGTAAATAAAGTTGTTGGAATTGGGGACATGATATATTATCCCACAATCTCTCTTTCGCTTTCATATTAAGCTATATTCCTTGGGCGTGATTCCCACACTAATCAGGATTCAACAAACGCAAACATAATCTTAAATTAAACAATCATAAATCCTTAATAAAATAGCAAACTAAAACCTTATCCAAACTCAAATATCATAATGACTTAGACTCCACATCTAACAAAACTTTGCACACCACATCAGAAGTCAACAATAGCATGCCGAGTGTTCCATGATGTTATCTTCATTATTGGAGAGAATAATCAATCATGTCATCAAAATTTACATTTAACTTTTCATAAATTTGCATACATACCACCTCATTCTTATGCTTTTCCATATCAAACCCCTAAAATTTGACATTTTTTTTTGGTAGATGCAATGATTTGAGCGGCATATGTAAATATGAAATGTCATGTTGTTAGATATGTAAATATATAAGATATATTTGGTATGCATGTAAATGCCATCTTTTCTCCATTGTTGGAGCTTTCTTCTGTTATCATCCATAGGAGAGATTGGGACTATTGATGTGAACTTTTTGCCATACTCAGCTTTCCTGGGCTCATTCAAGAAAAAAAATAAAGGAAAAATAATGAGTCCAGGTTCAAAGGCTCCTGTGCTGTGCACACTGAGATTTCATTTTGATTGAATCTTTTATTGATTTTGGCTCTCTTTCTATGCCTAAAGACAATAAAGGAAGAGTTAGCACTCCATCAGAAAAGGGGAAAGGAGTAGCCAAAGGGCTTTGGATGGAAAGGACAGGAGTCACTATCATGTGAACAATAGGCTAAGACACTTGGCTTTATCATGGTTGAGAGGACAATGAATTCATTTGTATATATATTTTTTATTTTGTGGCAACCAGCCATTTGGAGGGCTCCTCACCACTTCTACTCGTATTAATTATTTTCATTCGTTAATTTGTGAAATCTCGTATGTTGTAATGGTTGAAATTTCATCAGAAACTCTAAAGTTTAGCCGAAGCAGATAATATCTAACTTCATGAGATGGGTGACTTTCTTGGAAGTTAGAGACAAGCTAGAACGGATAATATCTCAAATGAGCAAGTGTTTGGGCTATTATTGGCACTAAATTATTGCTTAAGGGAGTACTCGGGTGATTTTTTTTTAAAATTATTTAGGATATACGTGTTTTTCAAATACAGTATAAATTAAATGTATTGTACAGAAATTTATTTGCTTTACATCAAAATTTTAATTTCTACTAATATAACTAATAGTTATTAAAATGCATAAAATTAATCACAAATATTAACTTTTTATATGAAATATATATTTTCATGTATATATTTTGATGTGAGTAATAAAATACTATGTTAATATAAAAGTAGCATTTGCAAATACACGATCTCATAACATCTAAATCTTAACTCTAACATTTATATCATCCAAACCTCTTCTAACACGTAAAAAATACCACCATTTTAACTTTCAAAAGGTGAAACACACATTTTCACGAATAGATAAGTCGGTATGTATGCAAAAATTAAATTTTAGATGTGTGGTTTCAGGGCACAAACAAACAACGAGAAATGTGCGGCGAGGCGCATGATCATCTCTTCGAGTCTCATAAAAATATAGCAATTATTATTATCTTGATTCATCAATCTTGAAATCCACATGGGCTCCATTGGTGCCAAAACTAAGCATGGGTGTTGTTGTTTTGGACTTTTGTTATGAGAAGTTTGTATCACACAAAAATTCACTATTCCGACCATTTAGGCATGGTGCACATCAAGTTATAGCTTCGCTCAAAGCCGTAAAAGGCATGTTTTAATAACGAACAATAGATAGGAAGGGAGCATTTATGAGGGTGTGCCGAATCATCATTCATCCATAATATTAATATAAAAGTATACTTTGCATAACATATGATGTGTTTGACACGTCTCTAATTAACACGATGTGTCAAACACGCTATTCATTTATATTTGATACGCCGTCAACAAATTTCCATCACCTGGCACGATTCTGAACACATGACACAAAATTTAAGATTTTCTTTTATTTAGTTAGAAATGTTTAAACTTTTATTAGAAGTTATCCAAAACTCCGATTCTAGTAAACGTATGGTTAGATTGACTAGCCCGACGAGACAGAACCAATGATACTAAAGTTGGTTCACTTTGAGTCTAATCATGCTCGGATGAAGCCACTAAATCACTTTTGGTGGCTTTCGGTGCATAACTAGAAGGTCAAACATACTACAAATATGACATGCTTATTGTCAAATCGAGCGTCTCGACAAGATGAATCCAACGAGCAAAAGATCACTATATTCTGACATCATTAAGATACTTAAATGTCCACAGAACACCGTCGGATACGGGGAATCTCCATAGGCCGATCAAAGTGGTCCGAATTCTTTTGTTATTTGTAATATGGGCTCTCTAAATAGAGCATTATCTTCCCTCTTGAGATGGGAGCTAGACTTGGAGCCAAAAAAAGACAGAAGCTTGGAGAAGAATAAGCTAAAGCCCAACATCATTTATGCACCTAAGATTTGGTGAATTTCTCCCGCTCTTGTAGTCGTTGATCACTATCAACCACCACCTGCTGACCACCGTCTAATATCGTCGATTGCCCTCTATCATTGACCATCGTCAACCGCCACTTGCTACGTGCAACGAAGTCTCTTGCACAATCATAATGTGCATTGCAAAATCCCGACATTTATTGTGAAACAATAACGCATATGATGGAGCAATATGTCATACAGTATACTGTCCAACGACGCACCCCGAAAACGGTATAATAATACACTCGGACACACCCCGGGAATAATTTAACAACGTACCTCAGATACAGTGACTTCCTTCAAACTCTTAAAGCTACTTTTTTATCAACCCTTGTTCTTTTCCTGCTCAAAGTTATGTATTGAGATTTGAGTCATTTCTCGAGATTCGTGTTTGATGAAAGAATTTGTTGGTGGCATATTAGTTGCCTTGCCCCCATATTTTCATAAATCACTTTTATCGTCCGAAAATATCAAAATTAGGAGCACCTTATATTTTTTTCTTGGCATCTATACAAATATATTCATGTATATTTAGAATTTATTTGTTTATAATATAATATATATGATGTATTATATTATCGTTCTTATACTTATATAAGAAAAAAATATATTCGTACTTGAAAATAAAGTTGGTTTAGATTTGTATCTCCATCACATATTTATATTTATATTACTCTTTATATAGGTTATAAGAATAAAGAAATAAGAACATATTTACCACGGAATATTTTTTTTTAATGAAAAGTTATATATATATATATATATATATATAATATAATGATAAGAGTAGATGGCTCTCGCTTTTAATATTTTTGTGTGATGATGTTGATCTTGTCCGAAAATAGAAGGGCAATTGATATATCATTAACAAATTTCCAACATTTGCATTAAAATCGAGGCAAGGTACTGATCTCGAGGTAAATTTTTTAGCATGAAGTATTCAATCTTCGTTTAAGGGTTATTTAGAGTTCTGATTTCAACAAACTTTTAGTCAAACTGATCGGATCAACGAGACAGACTCAGTGGTACCAAAATTGGTCAAATCCAAGTCAAGTCAAGCTTTGATCAAGCCATCAAAACATTATTGTCAGCTTTTCAGGCATATTTGGAAGGTTAAACAAATGTTGAATCTGATAAGCTCATGTTAAAATCAAGTGTCTTAACAATAAGAAGTCAACGAGCCCAATATCACTCAATTTCGAAGTCGTTAAAGCAATTAAACGTCCATCAAACATCATCTAATCAAATGAAGCTATTCGGACCGTCCTATCAAAGTGATTTATATTTCTGCATTAATTGCACTCGAAACTTTATATATAAAGCCCCACCCCTCTCTTGAGAGGGAGAGGAAGAGAGCTTGAGGTTTAAAAAAAAACTTAAAGCTTTGAGAATAAGCTGAAGTCCAACATTACTCGTGCCGCCATCTACCACCTTCAACTGCATTCGACCAACATCGACCACCCTTGACCATCATCGACCACCACCTGCCGGCCACTGCCGATAGCTATTGGTCGCAACTCATTCCTAAGAACAAGTTCATCCATAAGTCAAGGTATTACCTGGGATATTTTGTAAAAATTTCTAGTCTGTGGGACAAGAAGTCTTTGTAATCATCAACTTATAGTGAATTTTTTACAATTGGGACAGGCGCAATCGATTTTTTCCTTTACAGATTTTTCACCTAAAAACTTCTAGTGTCTCAATTGATTGTTTCTCAACTGGCTCTTTCATTTGAATGTGTGATGATTTCTCCTGCAACACTAAGACAATAATTCATTACTCCACCGCCGCAAATTCTCCAAACCCCACCAAGATTATTTTTTTTTTCCTTGTACTTTTTTCTTCTTTTGTAGAAAATAAAAAGATGGTATGCATTTCATATTTATTTGGTAAAGTCAAGTTAGATTTAAATTAACGTGTTAGGTAAATTAATATTTATTATTTTTTTGTAATTTATAATTTTTTTTAATCGTCAATATAACCACGTGCCGATTCGTCTATAATTAACTTCTCATTGTATAAATTTAAGAGCATTCCCAATTCAACTCTTGAAATGAGTACATAAAATGGAGCGACTCATAAATTTCATTATTTTTCATGAAAACATGCATCACACATACACTGAAAGTGCGGACTACGGCCGTGATACAGCGATACAGTATAGCTGCATCGCTACCGTAGTCACGTCCGGACTCCGGACAGAAAAATCGCTCGATACACTGGCATGTATAATCGCAAATGCACATTACATTATAAATATGTACACAAACTTCATGTATTTATATATCTAACATCTAAACTATTATATTTATATTTATTATGTTTTAGTATCATAATTACTTATGCATAAAAATATATGTTTTTAGAAAGAAGCACAAAATATTCTCAAATATATTTCCAATATATATATATATATATA